GAGTTAGGGAGTGAAAACAAGAGGGATTTATTAGTGCAACAGCAGTAAACCCAGGGACACCGGGGAGCTTGTGAAGGTAGCTGAGGGGATGAGGGACATCCTGAGAAGTTTCCTGGGGGAGCCGGGAGGAGAGACGGCAGAGGCTGGTTCTGCAGGCAGAGCTGAGCGGGGAGAGCGACGATCCGCCGGAGAGGTTCTGGCAAGCGAAGATGAGAACACACATGAGACAAAGCAAGGTTCAACAAAGTACAAAGCTCTCTAGAACTGCTGGATTGATACCACACTGAGGCAATTAATCCACTCGCGCTGGAGCACAAGTGGAGGCAGGCTTTACCCAGCGTTGATTATCAACCGGCGTCAGGTGTGGAGGAGAGTGAGTGAACACTCTCCTCGTCAGGAAATACCCCACCCAGCCTGCAAATCAATAATTGCCACAGCAACCACAACCAAAAAAACAAAAAACACCATTCTGTCAGCACAAAAACGCACATCACCACACATTCTTCCATATGTGAAAAGTCAGATTTTGTGTAGATTTATCTAAATGTGGCAAAAAAAAGATACTGCACAGAGTTATTCTGTGTAAACAACACAGTTATATGGCGTGGATTCATCCATAAGTTGAAAATACTGATATTAAAAAAACTGATATTACACAGATTCTTGTATATGTAGAAAAAAATGTCTTTTAAATGTACAAAATATTCATAGTGCACAGGTATGAAACGATAATGCAAAATCCTTCATGCATTGTTGCTGCACCAGTGAAATATGAGTTTTTTTGTGTGGTCTGTTGCAAGCAGTGCTGATTATAAAGTGTGACAGCAGCAAGGAGAGAGGACCTGATCATTGCCAGGATATGGTAAAATTACCCTGGAAATGGCCAAGAAGTCATGGAGTTGTGCTGGGCTACAAATGTATGACATAGTATGTTACAATACAATACGATGTGGTGATAGACTGTCTGTTTCTGCTCCACAGATGCTGATGGTTCAGAGTGTGTTGGCCGACATCAACAGGCAGACAGGAGAGTCGGAGTGTCAGTACTACAAAGACCGTCTGTTGTACGACGGTCAGAGGGACGAACTCATCGACCGGTCAAAGACGCTCAGCTGCCATGGAGTGCTAAAGAACAACAGAGGACTTGTCAGTACAATTTTGTCCCCCCTCAGCCTTTATTCCTACATTTCCTGCCATTAGATGCTTTTTTAATGTCAAGGGAATTTCCTTAACAGCTGATGAAATGAAAATATAATATGTAACTCTTGTCATTGTTTGCTTTTATCACCTCACATAAAATAAACAAAATAAGGATAATCTCGTCTCTCTCTTTCCAGAAACTCCATGTGTTCCTGTTCCAGGAAGTCCTGGTCATCACCAGGTCCGTTTCGGTGAACGACCAGCCAGTCAACTACCAGCTCTGCCGGCAGCCAATCCCCATCCGGCAGCTGGACCTGGAGGACCTATCAGATGGAGAGATGAGAGTGGGCGGGTCTATCCGAGGAGCCTTCAGCAACAACGAACGGAGTTAGTATACTCTCTGATAATACAAGTACATGTCACTTAGTCTCTCCAAAAAAAGAAATTAGTTGCAGTTTGAGCTGTATTCATTTGATCTGAAGCTGTTTTTTTTTTTCTAATTTGGGCCCCGACAGTCGTGTCAGTAGAGGAAAATGTTCATGTCATAGCAACAGTTATAGTTCTAATAGTAATAAGCTTCCAACATATTGCATAAACTGTTAAAAAAAAATGGTTTTGGTGTGGTAGGAATTGGGCCCATTTCCACTGCTGGAACTCGCGGGCCATTGTAGGGGCAGCCTGAACCTTCAAACAAAAGAACCTCCCTGAGAACCTCTTCAAGGCCTTTTTCCAGGGTCGAAAAAAAAAGCACCTTCTCTGGGATAGTTACTTCAGAAAGGCCCTAAAAAAGTGCTGGCTGTGACTTGATACTGATAGACAACAACAACAACGACAACGAACCTCTCTTCAAAGTAAAATCCTTGTAGTTGAATACAACAAAGAACAGCGCAACAACCGTCTCTGTTTCGTCCATTGTTGTATTTTGTGCATACAACTGGAGTTATGGTCACTAACTAATATTTGTTGTTTGTGATTTGTGTCACCGTCAAAGCTGTTGCAAAATTATTCCCACACCTTGTCCGGTGGATCCTACACTGCAATGGAAACCATAGACTGTACATAAAGATGGACATAGCCGCCATGTTAAAGCCTTGAGTTTTGAATTTTGCTGTCATCATCTTGTTTTTTTAAAACTGGATGTGATGGTTGAGAGCTGAATCTGACTGAGAATACGAGGACTTCATGAAGTCATGTCTTTTTCAGTGACAATGTAGCTCCGCCCAAAATATTACTCCTAATCTGTTTTGCTAATGACATGAACTGCTGTATTGAAGGAGACTTAAAACTAGCAATTGATTGAAATGAATAGGAACATGTTCACTGAGGCAACAACTGGACTTTTTACTGACTTCTATACAATCGGATATCTTTTTATAAATATAGGAGTCGCCCCCTGCTGGCTGTTAGTAAAAAAGCAGTTTTAAGGCACTTTTGCTTTGGCCTCACTTTTTAGACCCAGAGGCTACATCTACCTTTTATACACAGTCCATGATGGGACATTCTTGTAAATGTTTGCACCACCTCACACCTGTCATGAGTTCCTGTTGACTAGTCTGCACAGAGCCCTGACCTCAACCTCATCCAACACTTTGAGATAAACTGTTATGCTGACTGTAAGCCAGACCTTTTAGCCCAACATCAGTGTTGGACCTCACTAGCCTCGTTTTTGTTTAGACTAAATGCAGGCAAAAGACTCAACAGCTGGTGGGTGGACTGAAGCAGAAGAGTGTTGACTGTTGCAGCATTTCACATTTTATTCAGCTGTCTACATACATAAGATTTGGCAAATCAGATGTTCTATTTTATGATTTTATTGTGTTTTCAAAGGCTTACAATAGATCTTTATCTATCACAACATATGTCATCTCATAGCATTTCACATAGTAATGTAAGTATAACCTTACAAATTTGAAGCCTTAGTCAATTTTTCCTGTAGAGGTTTAATACCCTCCATTTAGAAAAAGTTACTCTGCATACTTTGTGGCACAATTTTGTTATGTGCATAGCATATTTGTCACAATTCTTTACCGACAAAATGTACCCAATTCTTATCAGTAATGTCTTTATTCTATGCATTTATGTAAAAAAAAGCAAAACTAGTTAGATGTTATACTTCCTTAAATGCCACTATAGATCTTTATGTCTACTGATGCCTTCTGGATGATTATGGAGAACAAAATCTGTGTTAGAACTTCAGATGATGTAATACTGATTTAAATCTATGTCTCACTTTCTCTCCCTCCCTCACAGCAAAGAATTTCTTCCGGGTTTCGTGGCTCACTGGAGGTCAGCTGCAGAGCCACTGTTTCCAGGCCAGTGACGCCTTCAACAAACAGCAGTGGATCAACTGCATCAAACAGGCCAAGGAAGCTGCAGCAGTGACTGGAGACCAGCCACCACAGACGTGTTGCCTGGAGACGGGCCTGGGTGGACAGATTGGGCCCCTTGTTGAGACAGGTCTCAGTTTGCACAGTGATTCTGGGCTTAAAAGTGAGAAGAGGATGTGGGGGGAGACGGAGGCAGACCTGGGATTGGAAGGAGAGGTTGGCTTGAATGGAGAGAACGATCTTGGTAAAGAGGAAGCAGCGAGTTTGACTCCAGAGATGGTGGAGGCATCTTTAGGTGTGGATGGTGGGACATGTTTGGAGGCAGATGGAGAATCAGGGATGGACGGTGAGACAAAGACATGGGTGGAGATGGAGTCTGGGCAGGTGGGGGTGCAGCCAGGAGCCACTGCAGACTGGAAGATGGATGGAGAAGGACAGACTCTCAGCAGAGATGATGTTCCCACTTCCCTTCTCTCCTTTCCGTCTCCCACTCCAGAAGAGGAGGAGGAGGTGATGGAGGAGGATCAGAGAGATGTTAAGGAGGAGGGGGAGGTCGGCATGGACACCAGTGAGGTTGACTCACTGCATGGTGAGGAGCTGACCCACAGGTGCTGATGAAGGGACCAAACAAACAAAGGACGACACCCTGAAGGGCAGCCAGTCAAGCTGGGTACTCATGAAACTGTCACTGATAAAACCAAACATGAATGATCAAACAGCATTGAATATGGTAGATTCCAGCCCTCTGGTGGAGTCACATGACAGAGCAGCACTCACATCATGGTCACACAGGCACTCATGGATGTATTATATGGACTGGACATCGGACTCATACGTAGCCCCAACTCACTTGAATGAAAACTACTCCTCTGGTGCCAGTATGTGTTACCCCTGGTGGTCCCGCCAGCTGACTTCTGCTCGACCCGCTGACTTTACTTTTACTCAAAAATAAACCTCACTTTTCTCGGTGCTGAGAGATTTTTAAACAAATGAAACCTCCATGGATTATAAATCCAATATTACATTGCATTATTACACTGGAGGTCTATTGGTAAAGTTCTTCTTTGAGCCACAGGGGATTTTTTGTTGTTGTTGCAGTACCACAAGTGGCCACTGGTGAGACTAAGTCGTGATAAAGTCAATATTTTATGTCTGCAATTGCAGAAAAGGCTGCAGTTGTAGGACCGCACTTCCAGGACCCTCGCTGACGTGTGCAACTTATGGCTTTAAAGGTTTATTGAACCCCAAAGGCTACTTACGGTTTTAGTGGTTTGTTCAACCCAAAATACGACTTTCTGTCCAAATGCTTATTGTTTTACAGTTTTCTTCAACCAAAATAGTACTTTCTAACTAACCAGTTATGGTTTTTACGTTTTTTTCCCACCAAAAATACTACTTTCTAACAAATGTGTTGTGTTTATTTTACTTGCCAGTTCCTGTGCTAGAAAAACTGCATACAACAGCTGCACTTCCTTGAATGGCCACTTGAGACCGCCTCCAGGACTAAGTCAGTCCCCAATGACCCTCTGTAAAAATATCACTTTTGGTCTCTATAGCTAATTTCCACATTGGATTTTTACATAACTCACCTCTTTAAATTTTGTTAAGGCTTAAAAGTATGCATAATTATGGACAATATCGGCACAAATTTATGCCTGATTTCTTGTACATCTGCACAGTAAGTGCTCACCTCCTCTCCACTACAGTATTAAAGAGCAAGAAACTCCACCTGGTGACACAACCAGGCATTACAGCGAATCTACAATACTTGAATTGTGTATTATGTAGGAAAATGGTGTTGGCTATCAGCAGATACTTATTATTAACTGCTCTGATTTGTTTAGGAGCCAAAAAAAAAAAACAAAGACTCCATCAGGACATCCCTATTAAATAAATGCGACTCCCCAGCTGAGAAAGCCTCTTGGATAAGATGCGAAACATCTTCAAGAACCAAAAATATCCATCCATTATCTATACACTGCTTAATCCTCACTAGGGTCACAGGGGTGCTTTAGTCTATCCCAGCTGACTCAGGGTGAAGGCAGGTTCACCTGGACAGGTCACCAGTCTATCACAGGGCTACACTTAGAGACAGACAACCAAGCACACTCACATTCACACCTACAGACAAATTAGAATCACATTTGGGTTATTCCATCTCAATCATCAGGGGCCTTCTGCTCAGCCATCTCTGATTTGCTTGAAACTTTCTTAATATAAACTATGGATATTTAAAATAGTATCTGTGAAATTTTAAATTAATACATCAAACATTTTCAGAGGTCATTAAAAAAATAAATTGCCCTTCCCACTTGCAGCAGGTTTTTTTCACAGATTGAAATCTGAGGCTATGTTTGAACAACAATCTTCTCAGAAACTATTAAAGATAAAACCTGACATTTTTACTGATCAGTTGCAAAATCAGGTTTTGTTGAATCCATCACATACGGCGCTTTGCTGCATCCTGATACTTAATTATATCATGTATTGGTTTTCACAGCACCCTCAGTCTAACTAATATTGATGAGTGCAGATGGATATTTCTTGCAAAATCCAAGTTGTTAAGTGGTGCAAAAATGCAGGTAATTTGTTTCAAACTAACCTTTTTTTCCATTTCTGTTTCTTTCAAAGTTTTCTCCCCTGTTTTAAAACATAACCAGCCTTTCATGGTTACAGCTACCACTCACTAGGACAAAACTGAAAAACAGTATTTGCCATGGCCAGGATTTATGTTCATATATTCATCCATTATGACTGTTGGTCATGGCAAGATTTTACATACAACCTCAGTGCTACCAGTCGGTGTAGAGAGCCTTCTACAGTTTTACCTTAAAGTTAATCATGTCAAACTTGTATCTCCAGTTTTCATTTTCATTTTGTTTTCAGGTCAGTCTTCTAACTTTTAAAATCTTGTCTGGAAACACTGGAGAAGACAGAGCTGCACATCATGGATGGATCATCAGAGTTTATTTAAAGCACTGCAAACACAATTAGATGAATCTTCAGTAGATTTTCAGTTTTGATCTTCTATCCTGACAGTTTTTGTCGCAATATTCTGTAAAACTGAAGCAGGTGTTGGAAGTGTTATTTCAAAGCTGCTGCAAATGTTCAGTGTTTCGTCATGAGACATCTTCAGAGAGAAACCTGTGGCTTATGTATGTATGTATGTAAAGAATGTATATGAAGTTTATGTGTATATGAATGTAGGAACAAAGCCAAGCATGTCTATTTGTTATGTGTGTGCTTCACATTATACATTAAATATGACTGCATTGCCAAGACAATCAGTTTGATATATAACATTTTTAGATTAGCGTTACAGAATACTGGTATTAAAGAAGGTTATCGGCACATCCCAGTCAGACTAAAGAACAAAATATTCCTGGATAGAACCTTGTAAAGAAAAAATACAATAAACTGAAAAGGTGATATTTAGTTGAGGTAGCAAGTGATGTGTGGATTGTCAAAGAACCAAAGCATCAATAAATTGTTTGAAAAGAAGGCTATTGCTGGATGAATGGTTACTGGTTTCTCTTCTCTTCTCTTCTCTTCTCTTCTCTTCTCTTCTCTTCTCTTCTCTTCTCTTCTCTTCTCTTCTCTTCTAAATTGATATTTTGGAAATGACAGAAAAAAACACCCAAACAAAGCCAAACAGAAGAGGGATTGTAATGCCTAATGTCACAAATTGATGCATAAAAATTGACCAGAGTGTCTTTTTGATGAGAGACCCTTTGTTGTGATTATCCATGTCATTTTTGTGAAAACAAAAGGAGAAAATGTCAGGTTTAGCCTATATGGGAATCTGTTTGTGTCAGGGAAACAACAAAAAAGAATGAAAAAGAAAATAATAATGTTGCTAATTATAATCCGAAACCAAAAAGTCCTAATTTTTCGATGCAAAGTCAAACATCACTTCCTAGTATCTCATAATTTGGATTTAGTCATTTTAAACAGTAAAGCAAACTTCGCCTGCATTGGCTCAGCCTTTTCATTTATATTGATATACAGGAAAAAAACAGATATCTGTCATATACTAAGGCAAGCTCAAGGGCTGCTCAGTAGGTGTGTGTGTTTTAAATAAACTACCAGACTGCTTCGTTTACCTCAGACCTAATTATAAGTTTATTAGTTGTAGGATGCTGTACAGTTTGTTAGGAACGTAGCTTTGTTTTTTACTGTTAGCAAAAGAAACAGAATGAAACTTTTAAGAAAAATAAAGCCTATGTGCCAGGACAAAAACAAATAATGAAAAACACTTGTTGATCACGTTATTATGATTATGTGTAGTGATTGCAACAACAAAACAAAAAGCTGAAGACGGAGGTTTCACCAACATGAAAGTCAGTTTTAGAGTAAAGAGTTAATACACATAATAAGAGTATTTTCCCAAACACTATGCAGTCTATAAGGAAAGTTAGTTGCTTTCTTTTGATTAAAAAAAAGTCATATTTGCAAAAACAAAACAAAGCAAAAAAACAAAAGAAAAAACAAGAATCATTTTTAAAAAAGTGAGATTTAGCCAAAATTAAAGTCAGTTTTTGAAAGGAAAATACCACAAAATTGTAAATAACTAAAAACACAGTTGCAAATCAGGCCAAATTTTCTTTTAAAAAGGAGAAGAAGACTATTTTTAATGCCAAGATTATTGTAATTTTGAGCTGCAAAGTCAAGTGTCATTGTATAGTACAAACTTTATCTGCATTGGCTCAGTCTTTTTATTCTACAAATAAATAATAAAACAATAATAATACACATATTTAGTCCTCACTGTCTTGATGCTGTACAGTTTATTAGGAATGTAGATTGCTTTGTTTCGATTAGTAATATAATCTTTGCAAAAACAAAACAAAAAAGTGATGCTTACAATAATTGGAAGTCAGTGTTTGATTTTTTTTTTTTTTTTTTTAAAGAAGTCGAAAAGTACTTTTAGTGCAAATCCAAAAAAAACACCTACCTTTTATGTGAAAATTATAAATATTTCGAGCTGGTTTGGTTCCTACAATATCTTGCTATGCTTCTTTTCCATCATAGACGAAGTAAGGTTAAGGATTTCCTCCAGGTGGCAGTAAAGCGCCGCTCGGTGCAGCAGCGGCGGCGGCTGACACTCGGTGAAGAAGAACCTGCTCGTCGGAAGCATGGCGCCGCTTGTATGTCGGTTCGATTCCCAGCGCCGCGGGATCCGGAGGTAACAGCGGTGTCATCGCGGGACTGCAGCCGAGAAACGTTGACGGAGCGACGGTCGCCAAGAGACTCGTCAGTTTGGTCGGGAATACAGAAAATGGACGACAGCCTGGCACGGCGGGAGGCAGGTCGTCCTCCGAGGAGGGTGTCTGCCGCCGCGGAGCATGGAACTAGCGCTAGCCTGCAAGATGGCGAGGTGATCCATGTAGCCTCCGCCAGAGAAGCTCACCCCGGAGCGGACAGACTCTGTCCACGGAGCGCTGCTGCTGCTGCCGGGAGGATGGAGAGGAGGAACTTGACACCGCAAGTGGTCTACCAGAGGTATATGCCGATGGAGCCCCTCAAGTTAACCATACCGAGGAAAACCAGGGAAAAGAGAGGTAGGCTGCAACTCTGTATCGTCACTGTTCATTTGAAGTATAAGACACTTGTTTATCTTCATGTTGACCGCTGCTCTTTCAGTAACTACATTTTTACACGTTTTCAACCGTTGACCCCAAGTTAAGTTTATGGAGCAACGGAAAAGTTCCATTGTCGGACAGCTAAGCGTTCATTATCGGACAGATCCATTTCATAGCATTTTTTGCTGTTAGCTTAGCCACAGAGAAAAACATTTAAATATTCACAAATATGTGAGTCACAGACATATCAACTCCCCTGTCATTTAAATCTGTTATGATTAGTTTCAGTCCTAAAAAGCCCTGAACAAGCTGTCACGGCTAACGTAAATCAGAGGTGCTAATAGCTAACAGTTAGCCATTTAATTACGTGTTTGCAACTATTACGCCGTGCTTATTATCACCTTTTGGCTGACTTTAGTTTGTTTACAAGTGAACTGAAATCTTCAAAGATTCATGTCTTAGTCTATGCCTTGATTTGAGCCCTATGTTGACGTTAGCTTCAGAGTGTTAGCTAAACCGAGGTAACCGCCTCCTTGTTTACATTCAGTCTGGTAGGACGTGAGCCCGTTTATGTACCTTGTGTTTATTACTGGTTTGTTTATAGGTGCTGCTGTCACAATAACACCATAAAACAAAACAGAACAACTCCCTAAGGACATATTTGTTGGCATGCCTGGTTCAGAGACAGTGGGTATGATTAGATCTGATCTGCGATTTAGTTTAGCTGGAAATTTGATTTATTGTTGAGGGACTGTTTGTAGGTGAAACTTCAGGTTAAAAGGTTTTGTGTGGAAGTGTGTGTCTGGATGTTTTAACCTCAACCTGCCTAACAAGCTGAACCCCATCAGACCCCAGTCCTTTGCCTAGACAGACTCTAACAACTTAAATATACTCCACAGTGATCCATACCTTTTCCTTCAAATCTTAAAACTTGGTTAAAAACTTGGGATTGTAGAAGAGCTAAAACGATTAATCGATTTAGTTAACCTCAAAGGAATCGCCAACAAATTTGCTGATTATCGATTTTAGTTGAATTCAGTTGACGTTTCTTTGCTCCCTTATGTTATGACAGTAAACTTAACATCTTTATGATGTTGACAAAACAACACATCTGAGAATGTCATCTTGAGCTTTGGGGAAAACTGATGGTTGACTGATGGAGGAAATCCACTGACAGATTAACAGTCAGCCGTGTACATTTTTGCTCTGCATTCTGCTTGCCTTCAGCCTTGATTATACTCCCTTATGAGCGTAGAGGGACAGCTGCAGACATCACGAAAGAGTTGTTGCTATTATGCGACTTTCTAACCTGTTGGGAGGATGCATACATATGCGTTAGGTTCTATCTCTGTATTCAGTGCATAGTTACAACTGCTGAGCATGAACACTGTTGACCTCGTAGCTTCGTCATGAATTTTGGGCTGCATGCGTGAACTTCTGCAGGATTGGGGAAAAAACAAAATTCATGTTGTGCTCATGGGGGAAGTGTAACACTGGCCTTATAGCATGTTTCAGTCCACTTGCAGTCTGCTGCACATGGACGTCCGTGGAGGGGTCCACTCGCACACTCACGACCCTCATGCTCTCTAGGAAAGTACAAAACTGGCGTTACTCTTTCTCCTGGTTTTGTTCACTTTTTCTTGCACCACCTTTATATGCTGTTGCTCTACCCACATGATTTGACATCTGGTCAAGAGACAAGAGTTGCAAATGATCTGTTTTGCAAACACTGGCACATTTACATTGATGCTGATTAATGTGCATTGTCCCTGGAAAAGGTCACAAACAAATTATGAAAGCTATCCTAACACTAACCAGCTATCTCTGTGGTAACAAATCCTAACCAAACCAAAACCCTGACCACAGATGAAAACTATGTTCAGTTCAGTTTAGTTTATCATCATTCAAACTTGTTGAAAATATGAAGAAACAAAATTATTACCCAGCTCCAGCAGCATACGGAATAAATACATTTTTGTAGTAAAATAACTAAGCTAGGTCTATGTTAAACAAACAAACAAATAAAAAATAAATCAATACATAACCTAAACGCCTATAATAAATTAAGCGCATAGTTAAAAAACAGCTACGCATCATGTTAATAAATTAAGAGTGCAATGCAGTCATAGCTGTACAGGGTGCAGAGGACAGGCTTCAGGCTATAGAGTTCATAAGTCTCGCAGCCTTTGGGAAGAAGCTGCTTTTAGCCTTGTTGTCCTGGCGTTGAGGCTGCACAGCCTTCTGCCTGAAGGGAGGAGGGTGAACAGTTCATATGCTGGATGGATGGGGTTCTTCATGATACATGGAACTTGGCTTCTGCACCTGTAGACATAAAGGTCCTTCAAGGAAGGGAGGCTGCTGTTGGGTATTTTCTGAACAGATTTAGCCACTCATTCATTGCAGCGCCTTCCTGTCAGCCACAGAGCAGTTCCCTTAGCTGCACCTGAAGTAGACAAACAAACTTTTGCAAGGAAGCGTGATTTAACATCCGAGGGGCATGAAATCCATTCCGCTCATCAGCTTATTAATCGTACTTAATGCTACTTGGGGTGTGAAATACTCATTCACAGTGATAAGTCCAGCTTGGGCTTCAAACAGAAACTTTAACATAAACATAGTTTTACTGACTGTGGGAGAGGAGCTTGAAATACACTGTTTTTATTTAGGCAGGAAGGGTAGAAACACCGTGTCAGGGGATGTACGTCAGCACACAGCACAGCCTCCTCCTTCCCCACCCCCTGTTGCCACAGCAGTAAATATATTTACATGCAAACTGATGTCACTGTTTTCAGTCCTGTCCTGTTTTTGAATTCATAATGTCACATTGACATAGGACTGAGGAATCTGTTCAATCATATGTCCATTTTCATGATTCTTCTTAGGCCCAGTCCACATAAACATCACCATCTACAATAAGGCTCAATTAAAGCTCAAGATGACCTGCTCAAACATCTTGTTTTATCCAGGAGCCAAATCTAATCAGTTTACTGTTGTAGAGGGGTAAAGAAACCAGAAAACATTCAAATTTAAGGAAGCTTGAATCAGAGAATTTCCATCTCATTTTACTTCAAAATCTGCTCAAACTGATGAATCTATTATCAAAATAGTTGGTGACTAATTTAACAGCTGATAACTAGTTGATGCTAATCTAGTTCACCATAAAATCCAGAAACACAGCTGAAGCGTTGTCCAATCAACAGGTGACAATGTACGCCTAACTCTGAGACCGTGCTGACCAATTAGAAGCCTAAAACAACATTATTGGTCCTGTTAGCCTACCAACAATAACGTGAAGTTATTCAATTCTCAGTATAATTTATGTATATACATAACAGAATTCCGGCACAGTGATCCGGTGGCTAGCACTGTCGCCTCACAGCTAAAAGGTCCTGGGTTTGAATCTCGGCCTGGGATCTTTCTGTGTGGAGTTTGCATGTTCTCCCTGTGCAGCGTGGGTTCTCACCGGGTTCTCCTGCTTCCTCCCACAATCCATAAAACATGATAAGGGTAACTGGTGATTCTAAATTGTCTTTAGGTGTGAGTGTGCTTGGTTGTCCGTCTCACTGTGTAGTCCTGTGATAGACTGGTGATCTGTCCGGGATGTGCTCTTCCCTCATCCCAAGTCAGCTGGGATAGACTCCAGCCCCCCCGCGACCCTACAAAAGGATAAACAGATGTCAATCCATCCATTATCTATACACCACTTAATCCTCAGTAGGGTCGTGGAGGGGCTGGAGCCTATCCCAGCTGATTCAGGGTGAAGGCAGAACCCGGAGAGAGGATAAATAGATATGCTATAGATAAATGGATGGATGAATGTCAAAATTCCTGTTAGCAAGGTTAACACCAGCACTGTTTGTCCATAATTGCACAGAGGCGGTTCATTTAAACAAAGTTTTTAACAGCTTAACCCTATTAAAGACCCACTTTCAGTGACCTAAAACTTTGTGTGAATGAAATGCCAAAGTGCAGAGAAAAAAAAATCATTATTACGACTACATTAATTTCAAAAAAAGTGCAAGTGAATTTACTTATTTATTTCATGCTTTAGGATAAAACTCCCACCTGTCAGCTTATTCCATCACTGTGTATAAAAGCTGTGACAGTTGACTAATGTTTCTCTCTTTTTAGCATCAGCTACAACAGATTTTTTGCTCTCCATCTCTGTAGAAACATCATGTGATTTTGCATGTGGCTGAATTACAAACATACGTCACTGCTTCCTGAATCACACACAGAATTATTCTATTGCAGTCAACAACCTTTTGCTTTGTTTTTCAAACGTACACTGTATTTTCATAGGTGTGACACGCAGGGTGGATTAAGTAGTAATTTGCTTTCAGGCACTGCCAAACAAATGTAAACAAATAATCCCGGTCATTTGACACCCACTGAATGTGAACGCACCCGTCAGTAGTATGGATTCAAGGATTCAAGGAACTTTATTTGTCCTGCCAGCTCACATTCACGTTAGTGGTTTGAAATTCGTACTCAGGTTTTAGTTTTGTTTTTTTTTGTTTAGGAAAAAAAAGCCTTATAAATAATAAGTACAATAAAATGAGAGAAAAATATAAAAACAAGAGCTATGTGTGTCTATGGCACACATAGAATATTTGATGGGCTTTTTAACAACAGGGAACGATCTTTTGTTTAACTTCTGTCATGGGGGCATGCATTGATGCGGTTGCACATGGGCAGCACCTCTGATGTGTTCGATGCTCCAGCTGAGCCCTCCGTACGCTGAGGGAGGCACCTGCTGCCACTTCATTAGTCTCATGAGAATTTGGCGTGAAAAAGGCTGCACAGGTTCTGTTATAATTGAGGCAAGCTGGCACCTACTTTTACCCACCCCAATGGGGCTAAAAGCAGCATAGAGGATGGGGAGAAATCTCTGTAGAAGGTTCGGCATCTGAAACCCAACGAGTGGAGGGTGCTACAGCAGCAGGTCAATGCCCAGAGTTAGATTAGCTTTAACAGTTACTGGCTGTTTTCTGCTCCTGAGGTATTTTTCCTCACTGTGGGCTCATTTTTGTCTGCAGGATAAAGTCCTGCACCTCTATGGAAACGGCACAACCACAGCTAGACGTACAGAGAACACAGAAATATCTTTGTGTATATAGCAAAGTTAGAATGAATACAAACATTGAATTTCTTTAATTATTTACTATGGAAAAAATGTATAAAATAAAACTAAACAAATCAACCTTCTTCCAGGTGCCCACAGGTGTCACCCATACTGGTGGCTCTACAAACTACAGATATTTTACTATTTGCATTTTCAGGCTTTGTCCACTCTTGACTCCTGTCTGGTCTCTAAACACAGATTTAATTTCAGCCCAATTCAACAAAAAAAAGAAATCCAAAATTTTTATTTTTGGTAAATTTTGGGGCCTTTAGGTTCAGAGGGTTAATCTGCTTAGATGCGTAAAGATGTATGCAGTAAGCTGTGGAATTAAGCCTTTTGATAATCTCCTACACAGCATAGCCACTGTCAACAAAGAGAATTGTGGATTTGTTGGGTTTCTTTCTACAATATAATGTTGTGAAGTTATTACCTTACCACGTGAAGTGCCCTGAGATGACTTATATTGTGAACTAAATACAACTGAGTTAAATTATTTCTGAAGCCTTCATAGATCGGACAGCTGGATTTTTGTGTCCATGTTTAAAAGGATTATTTGTTCTAATAAGTGATAATTTGTGAAAAAGAAGCAAAGGATGATTAGTGACGTGTGTCTCCTGTCTTTCTCTCAGCTGTGCTCCACGTTTCCACTGAGTCCCGGGAGTATGAAGACATGATGACCATCCTGACCTCCAGCTACATCGACACCAACTCTTCCGGCTGCATCACCTACAGCAGACCTCGGCTTGTCCACAGTGAGCAGCTGGAAAAAGAGGTGAGACATGAGCAGGTGGAGAGTCGTCACCATTTAAACATGTCCCACTACTTAACTGTTATGTACAAGTGGAATTCTGGAGAAGTACTCAGAGGTGGGATGTGCACCTGTGAAGTTTATGCCAAAGAATCTGTGTGCTAATCATAAAGAGATTGTGATGAATTTATTGTTTTCAGGACCCATGGTTGCTATGACCAGCTGAGATTCTTATTTGTTCGTGGATTGATTATCAATTGTTCTTGCGTGTTTTAGTTTGTGGAGAAGAGGAAGGAGATGAAGGCAGAAGGGAGGTCTGAAAAGGAGCTGGAGGAGAGCTACTGTTTCCTGCTGACAGATGCTATCAAGGTGAGATTAGAATTAAGCTTTGCTAGTTGTTAAGACAGGAAGAGTTCTTAGTTCAATACAGAGAATACACACAGTAACTACACTGTGTTTTTGCGCATTTGTGTTGCAGTTATCCCATGATGTGGGTATTTTGTACATGTTAAACTACGTCTGTCAAGTATCACTTTCCTGGATCTGATAAACGGGACTGCAAGGCAACGTCACAGATTGTTTTTCTGCCTGAAAACCAGAATGGCAGGAATTTCTCAGTGAAAAGAGCAGTTGATGTCAGTTTGAATGAGCCTTATTGTTTAAGATCAACATTTTGTCTTTTTTTTTATTTTTTTTTTTATTGTTTTGCTGTTGTAGTCGTTCCAGCTCTGTGAGAAGGGCCTGTTCGTAGGTCAGAGTTGGATCACACTGCTGGGAAACCCCACTAAAGGTAGGCGTAAACAGACACACTACATGATGGCTCAATGATTCATCAATGTCAAATCAAAATCACAGTATGAGACAAAACAATTAGCAAATTGCAAAAGCTGCAATTTAGGGCATGTTCTGCAGCGTGTCTGACCCAGGGTTTAAACATTTGCAGCAGTAGTTTTGCATATTCATGCCATCCTGGTTGTGTGAGAGTCATGCTTTTGATGGTATTTCATGCAATAATTCTTCTTCACGTGTTCTAAATCTACTACACAGTTCATTCCTGACTGAAGTTTTGTTTAAAAAAATAAATCTGAATATTTAAATCATAGTATCAGAAAATCTGCAATTAGATGTTTTCCCCAAGTGGTTCAGCCTTACTCGCATGTTCTCCCCGTGCAGCGTGGGTTCTCTCCGGGTTCTCCGGCTTCCTCCCACACAGTCCAAAAAACATGTTGAGGTTAATTGGTGATTCTAAATTGTCCGTAGGTGTGAATGTGAGTGTGCTTGGTTGTCTGTCTCTAAGTGTAGCCCTGTGATAGACTGGTGACCTGTCCAGGGTGTCCCCTGCCTTCATCCTGAGTCGGCTGGGATAGACTCCAGCCCCCCATGACCCTAGTGAGGATTAAGCGCTGTATAGATGATGGATGGATGGATGGATGGATGGATGGATGGATAGTTCAGCCCTACTCTCCACTGTAGGTGCTTCTCAATATCACGTCAGCTAATCCTGCCAAAGGACTTTTCTGATGTCTACTATCCATCAAATTCCGTCAAGGATCCAGAAATTTCTAGAATGCTTGTGTGTACCCTTGGCCTCCTTAGAGCATACAGAATCCTGCGCACATATCAGGCCTTTTCAATGATGCCCATCTGCTCACTCACTCAACATTCAAGTGGTAGCATCAGCAGGTAGAACACTACAAGGCTGGACTATGTGTTGTTTCAGCATTCAGCTACTGTGATTTGTACACGTATAGTAACAGTCACATCTCAGAGTGCGATGTGAAGTAACACAAATTAACCTAAATACACAATGCTGCAGCTTTTCACTGCTTAGTACAAAAAGAAAACTTGAATGGTTCACATTTTCCATGACTGTTCTATAAGGCATGCCCATCTAATTTAAGGTTCTTAAATAAACAAAAATATTGTTTTACTTTTTTATAAAGGAAATGGGGTTTGTTGGTATGCAGGATCCACATATGCACAGCAAAATGAGGAACAGTAGAGAAACACAGACAAAGAAGATTTGGATAAAATGAAATGCAGCATCCGTTGAATGTAAATACTTTAGCTTCAGGAAGGATGTTGACTAGAAACAGGTACTCTGCCAGCTGCTAATTTGTTAAACTATTTAAATCAGAACCACACAGCTCTGTATGACAAGTGCAAATCCAGATCTAGAAGCAGCGTTGAGAAAAACCGACTAACACACTGAGTTTTTGTCTGCACATTGAAAGGAGAGGTCACAATATGCTGAATGTGTAATTTCTGGTAGTTACTCTTTAAATCAAATCAGATCAGGTTTATTGACATTTTTACTGTACATACAACAGTAGTACAAACAAGATGAAAGACTGTTTCTTCAGGATCCAAAAACTAAAAGCACTTAAATAAAGAAGTGTTTGCATTTCCGGATCAGTAGCTCAGCATTCTGACAGCTTGTGGAATGAAGCTGTTGATGAGTCTGGAAGTTCATTCCTTTAGTGCTACGGAAACGTTTGCCTGATGGCAGCAGTTCAAACAGTTTATGGGGAGGGTGTGAGGAGTCCCTGACAGTGTTCAGTGTCCTGTTCCTGCAGCAGCTCTGGAAAAGTTCAGAGCTAGCTGTGTGTCTGTCCACCCAGAACAATGTCGTCTTCTCCAGCTGTATGTCCGTCTGGGATATTTTCATTAAGCAATGCCTCCGCAAAAGCATGACTTTACATTGAATACGTGCAACACTGTTTGTAGGAGTTCACTGACACCCACCTAGTTTGTTGAAGCATCCTTTGAGTTGAATACAGAATTAATTAAGGTGCCAAGAAAATGTACACGTGATCTTAATTTTGTTCTTTTTTGGTGTGTGTTTGTGCATGTGTCTCTAGGAGTGTATCTTTCCAGGTACTCAGACCTGCTACAGAGTAACGCCTTCACGCCAGGAGCCACAGGGGAGATCATCATCTTCAAAGTGATGAAGGTAAGTCAGCTGGCTGCCAGTCACTACAATCATCACGGTCTCTGTCAGCTCACCTGTCAAACTCAGGAAACATGAGTACAGAATGTGCTGAGCCAATTCAGGCATGTTTCACTGGATCTGTGTTCGCTATTAACATCTGATCCCTTCTTCAGAACTGTTCTGTGCACCTCGGGCTACTGATGCTGCATTGCACCTGTTCTTTACTGTGTCAGCATGACTGCACATGTGAGCGAAAATTAATTTGGCAAAATGCACACGTTTTTCACGCTCAAACTCCAACCCTTTCTTCTAATGAGCAATGATCTGTGTATAAAACGTTTAGGCAGCAGTTTCCCGTCTCAAGCAGGCAAAAACGTGCGGCATGTTTTTTCATGCAATGATCAATTCTGAGATTTTGCTTCTATACCTCGTCTTCCTTCAGAGTAGTCAGAACAAAATGTCCAAAACACACATTTAGGTGTTTACTACATTTTTCCTATTGGACATTTATGCAAATTTATAGCATGTGTATTCTGTATTTAACAGGATAGTACCCTATTTGCACATTTAAACATCAAATTTAAAAAAAACTTGTAATACAAAAAATAATTGTCCTAATGAGACAGGAATATACCGCTTTCGTCGAAGTGACAGGTGGGCGTGTCTAAGCCATGTTGCCATGTCATCAGAGTAATCAGCCAATGGTATGCGTGTATTGAACCGGAAGTCCCGCCTTGTCCCATGTTTGAGGTGGAGGAATGCGTACGTCGCCTCCCCCCTGTGTACAAACTGAAAGATTACGACAGGGAGCCTGTCAGAGGTACGTTTTACGAAGCCGAGTTGCAGAAAGTAAAGATACCGCCTAATAAAACCTGTCGAGTGGAAAAAGTTTTAAACCATCACATCGTCGGGGCTGAAAAGCAGCTGCTGGTACGGTGGAATAACTGGCCGACCAAGTTCAACAGCTGGGTCAAGGCCGCGGAAGGGAGGGATGTATAAAACACGGAGGAGAGGAACCTCCCTTTCCATTCGTAGTCATCATGGTTCACGGCTCTAACGAGGGGTTTTGCATCACCCTACCTTCTAACGCCAGCTTTGAAGTATTTAAAAAGAATACGAGCTCCAGTTTCCACGTGGATCTGAGAGAAATATCTAGATTTGAACGACACTCTGCTTCACCTCAGGGTTAAAATCACCAACACGGACGGCTCGAACTTGGCCGCCGCCGCCGCCGCCGCCGTAGGTCTCATCAATTGTCCTCTCAATACAATTTTCAGCCAATGCGACGTCATTCTGGGGGATGGTTTGATATCGGAGTCCAGTGCCACTCACCCCTACAGAGCGATGATAGAGACCCTGCTCAACTTTTGTGAAGATTCGTTAAAAAGTCAGTTCAGCACAGGGCTGTTTTACAAAGACACGGCCGGTTCTATGGACTCTGTGGTGATCGAGGACGGTCCCAACGCAGGCTTAGTGCAGAGAGCGGGGTTCAGTGTCAATTCTAGAGAAGTGCACCTGCTGGGGCCTCTGCACGCCAACATGTTTTTCAGCGAAAGACTTCTTTTGAACTCTGTGGATTTGAGAATCAAATTGACCAGAGCGAGCGACTCCTTCTGCCTCATGTGCGCCCCCAATGCAACTTTCAAGCTGAAAATACTGGGAGCTTCTGTGTTTGGCAAAAGCGTTGTATTTTTTTATTTTTTCATAAGGGTTCGACCCAGGTTCGTTTAATACAGCCCTCATTTTTACATCCAACTCATTTTCAGCCGTACGTCTCATGGGTTGATCTACAGGTTGAGTCATACGATTGAACTGCTGAGGGGTAACCAAAAACATTTTTTGAGCCATCTCTCTCTCTGCCTCTCTTTCTCCCCGTTAACGGTTTATGAGGCCTCCTAGAAGTTGTCCAAATATGGGCACGACGGCCGACAGCAGAGGCTTTGGTTGTCAGACTGTTTTTTTTTTATTGGCCAACAATTTGATAATTTTCTTTTGCCTCTTGAATTTTTTATACTGCGCCGACGTCAGAGATATATTTCCTTTTAAAAGATTGAGAGAGAGCTCGCACAGACACTGAATAAAGTCAGAGGACCAGCCCCGCAGAATATCTTTACGTCTCCGCGGGTCGGCTCGACACAAAGCTCTCAGTGAAGGAGCGTTCCTTTTTAACCGGGCTGACATGCTTGTCCTCCTCCTCGTATTAAAAAGACCTCTGTTGTTGTTGTTTAGGTAAATAGACAACTGGCCACTGGTGAGGTAGCGGACGCGACCTCACTCTGTCGGGTTCTGGACAGGAGGGTGTGAGTTCCATGATTAAATAGCCATGAGGCTGCTTCACCACATCTTCAAAACTTGCTAAAAAATAGTATTTTTGTGAAGGAAAAATTTGTTGAGCCAATATGTTGATTTGAAGCCTGTCTCTGGGGTTTTTAAACAACACCAGGTAATTACTGTTCAAACTGATGGTTCTACTGTGTTTCCCTTTTTGAAAACTATTCTGAGTCAGCATCATGACGCTCATGTTTCTGTGATGTCTGTGTTGTGTGAAAATTCTGACTACCTCCGGGTGATCTGAAGCTTGAAAAATGACATCATCCAGAATAATCAGATGTCTTTGGTCGGGGGGGAAACAGGTTTTCATCATCAAAACAATCAGGCAGTCCTTCCACAAATTTACTCTTTTTATTCATCTTCTGCAGTTCAGCATACATGGGTTGAAATGAAGTATATATCCACACGATGTTGTCAGGAGTCTGAGACAATACATCTGTACAGTTTTCCAACACATTTTTTGCAAAAAAAATTTTTCCACAACTGCTGGGGCCTACAATCTGACATGAAAAAGGCATCTGCAATCTGGGTCAAATTCTGTGACCTCGGTCACGTCTGATATTTTTTATTTTTATTGTATTTTTTTCTTTTCTTCAATATCCAAAAGGCAAAGTTTCACCCGTGGACAGTAACCGTCTCTTGAGTTTTTCAAATGAAACCCTCTTTATCACGCGTTGTGTTGTGCCGAGGAGCTTCAATGACGCCCCCCGAGGTCGGATTTTCCACATAATCTTCTACCAGCTTTCTGACGCTGTCAAAGTTGACCGTTTCAGCGCATTCGTACGTCTGAGTGATGCCTTTCGCGCGCATCACTACCTTTTTGTTTCTGGTCTGGTAAGCGTAACTTTTAGACCCTGCCGCCGCAAACTGCAGTGTGCCGTCTCTGTTCAACTCGTCTGTTAAATCACCCAGATAATTTCCTAGCTTGAGGGGAGATTCCCCCTCTCTGGTGACGTAAATCAGGCTGTCTGTGTCATAGTAAAGAACCCTCTCTTGCATCTCTTCCATATAACTGCACAGCTTTAGGCGACCGTAGGCCGTGGTGAAGGCCGCTATAAACACGTTATCCACCTTGTTGGGGGGTGAAATGTAACTGTCACACCACTGAATCAGAGCTATACTGTCGCTGAGGAAGGTAAAGTATTTGATTTCACGGCTTTCTGTGAACATAAAATCAAAAAACTCTTGCGGTTCTTTGATGAGGGCCGTCTGAGTCAGGTTACTTCTCTGCGCAAACGTTCCCCAGAAACTGTTGAGACAGAGCTTAGACACTTGTCTTTTAGCGGGGTTAGGTGCAATTTTTGAGGGGTCCAGCTTGATCCCCTGCTGTCTTTCATAATCTCTGACATATTTCTCTCTGCTCTCTGGGTTCGAGGCTTCGGGAGGATAACCCGAAGCCTCCTGCTTTCCCTTCAGAAAAGTGCGCATGTAGCCCACAAATACAGAATCACTCCTTCTCTCAAAATGCCACACTTGTGTAATCTTATCCAGCCTGTAGCCCATTTCCAGGGCCTTGTTAAATTCAGGAGTGACCCAGACCCCCGTCAGAACCCTGGCCTCGTCGTCGTGCGCACAAGGACCCTGCTGGAAATTCATCTCTGAGCAGGTGTGGCACAGGGGAAAGGTCAGTTTACCCGAGGATGTTCTGTGAGGTAAAACGGGGAAAAATAAACTGCAGGGAGGGTACACGACGGCTCTGATTAACCCAAAGTACTCTCGAGGGTGTTTGAAATCTTGGTAAATGACCTCGAGGTGTCCCAGAGGGTAGGGAAAACTACAGTTGACAAAAGGGTACAACAAGGTGACGTCTACATAGTGCACGGTGTCGTCAGGCGGCCTTGGTTCTGCCTCTGTACAAAGCCTCGCGGGGTGACAAAGGCTGAGGATTTTTGTAACATTTGAGGAAAATCTCTTAAGGCCTCGTTAGTTTTTTTTCATACGATTCCAATCGTGCTCCCTCATGATATTCACTTTGACTCCGTGCACCCTCTCTATCCTCTGCAGTCTTTCCCTGGTCTCTCTGTCCACCTCTTCAAAGGTAGCGCGTTTCAGAGGACACGATTCCTGAGGTTTCAAACACGTCAGACAACCGTGATAAAAACAACCCAGGAATTCCCACACGTATTTCACCCCTCCCACCTCCACGTAGCTGTCTACAGAGTACCTGCCCAGCTGTTTCTCACCCGTGTTCAGACCCACTCTCACCACTGGATGCTGGCATTTGAAAACGACTTGAATCTCCTGCGGTAATTGTCGGGGGAGGGAATGGCGAGGGTGTCCAGAAGTAAAAAATTGGTGCAGAACACTTTCATGCAGGCTGAAGCTATGGTGGCTCTGCTGAAATCATCTACCCCCGTTTCCTCCAGGTAACCCTCTCTGAACCTGCGACAGCCCTCGGCCAGAATGTCCACATCATTTTTACAGTACATGTAACAATCCCGTTTAAAATCATCATTCTGCACCACGTACAAAAAAACGTCTATTTTTGTCAACCACCTCGCAGTCTACGGTGTTATGCAGCTGTCTTTTTCTACCACCGCCGCGAGGATTCCTGATGACCTGAGCTGTCACGCGCGACTCCCGTCAGCCATAATCATCATGCTGGATTGTACGGCTTCATCCAGGAGAGTCTGGAACTCTGTCAGGTCAAAACCCTCCCCTCCTCTTAATATCGCCAAGACACTATTTGGAAGAGAAGAATGCCCTTTCTACTAATTCATAAACGGTCCCCATGACAGAACCGTAAAAAGTACCGTAATCTGGCATCTCTGAGTCTTTGGCTGTCAGAATATCTAGGAACTGCGTGTATTCGACGTTGTTAAAATCATCCCTCACGACCACAGAAGGGGCTCTTGTATTTTCATTTTGAACACCGGCTTCCTCTGACACTAACCGCTGCTGCTGCTGCTCAGGTTGACCCTGGGGGTCATCGGTGTGATTAACACCACCCCCTTTGTTGCTGCAGCAGCGGTTCACGGGCGGGGGCTATGATGTGTAAGTGATTTAAGATAGAGTCTAACATTTCCAAAATTTGAATATTATCAGTAGGGGGAGAAATGTTTGGAGTGTTTTCATCAGGTTGTGTGCGTTCAATGACTTGTGTACAGGCTGCAGAGACCGAGGGTATTTCATTTAGGTTTACAACCGTGTTTATTGTACTCGAGACATTGTCTGGTTCTTTGTTATTTTGACTAAGATTTATTTCATCTGTGGAGACGTCGTTTAGTTCATGTATTGTCTCCCTTAATTCGTTTAATGTATTTAAGACTGAATGTGAATAATTCAACTCATCAATAGCATTATTAATTGTGATAAAAGGATCAGAAGCACCAGCGGTTTCAGAGTGTACAGTGTTTATTTGAAAAGACCGCGGGTGAGACTATAACAGGCGTGACTCCTCATTTGAGTTTAACAGAGAATCTTGTAACTCGGACAATCGGCGGTTACTGTCTTCCATGATCACAGAAATTTCAAGTCAGTCAAAAAAAAACAAAAAAAAAAACTTTGCCACAGTCTTTCTAACATTTTCCAGCATTCCCTCAAGCTATAACTTTTAATTTAACAATCAGTGGGGTGAATGTGTGAACACAGGAAGCTAAGCTCTGTCTTTACCAATTGCTCCTTCTAAAATCAAGTCTGAGTGACACAGACAGAGAACTGAGTGACTGAACCGTGTCTTGTTTATATATCACACATGGCCTAATTTTTAGAACATTCTAATCCTAAAAAAAAAAACAAAAAAAAAATATATTTTTTCTTTTCTGGCTGTTGACACTATTTTCAGATGTATGGGTTGATGAAAAGAGAGATCCAACATCCCCTATGTAGCAACGTTTTGGTCTAATATGTGGACAAACTGAATCAGGAGCCTCGAACCAGGCTTTATCCAGTGATCAGATTACTGCAAATGTATGCAAATTAGCGTAAATTTAGGTAGACATTACCTCAATTGCATATTTAAATGTAAAAAAATTCAGCACATTATAACTGTTGCATTTCAACTAAGGACATTTCATGGTGATATCTGTTAAAATTCCTTCCCTATTCAACAGTAGTGCCTCCACTTGAAATGACAAACACTAGCAGTGAGAAACGTAATGACTTAAAGTTCTGTGAGTAACCTGGCATGTCAGCGCTGAACTGGTCCCATGACTGTAGTCCCCATAACGGAAAGTTCTCAGACGCTGTGCTGGTTTAAATAAACCTGGATAATTATGTGTCTATGACAAATATTATTTTTTTTATTTTTAATGGTGCGTAGGAAGCATACAGCTGTACAAGTATGTATACAACCACAGGGAAACCTATATTATGTATGATTAAAAGAGTCCTACTTTAAAGCTAAAACTAATAAATGGTTCATATAACCATGATAAATGGTTATTTTAATAATCAGTTAGTTGACCGAGGACTTATTTGTGTTTTTTGTTTCAGGGAAAAGTGAAGAGCATCTATGAAAACATGAAGAACATTCTAGATCCAACGCCTCGCTTCGACAGCCATATTTCTAAGAATGCCAGCAAAGTCACCTCGGTCAGCTCTTACCGCGCCTTTGAGCTCACACAGGTAAACACACACACACACACACACACACACACACACACACAGAACAAAAATACATATGCAACACTCTGAAATTAAAGTAATATTTTATGATATTAGTTTCTTTATGGAAGAGAGTCTAATAATAAATACACAGAAATAATTACCTGCCGACTTCTCACTGTTACATCACATTTTTGTTAAGATTAGTTTTTATTGGGCTTCTTTATTTGACAAGACAGTGTAGAGAGACAGAAACATGGGGAGAAGAGCAGGGAAAGGACATGCAGCAAATGAGCTGCTGGCTCTACTCGAACCGTGGCCGCTGCGTAGGGGACAATAACCCTGTACATGGGTTGCCTTCTTGTCCGGTTGAGCTACCGATGCACCCCAGTGTTACATCACATTTTATCTATTGGACAGTGAAAGTAACTCACTATTTATATAAGCTGTTTAGTGATCAGCATGACTCCTTCAGTTGGTGTTGTTGTCAGGCTCTGGTTCATGTTTGGTTCAGGTTCCATTCAATGCTAAACTTAAATCATACATAAAATCTTAGAACACAGATGCAACTGGATCTAACACTGTTGTTTTTGGGGTTTTTTTGTGTTGTTGTTGTTGTTTATACCAGCAATACTTCTACGAGTATTCGTTTGATGAGCTGCGGGAGCGACCTCGCCAGGTGTGTCCGTACGCCATCGTCTCCTTCCAGTTTAATGGAAAAGACTCTCCGCTTCCCAGCAAACCTTTAGCACCCATGAGGTAAGGATATCTGTCAAGTGGAATATGGTTTATTCCACTGATTCCAAACCAGAACACGATCTAGAAACACATATTTAACACTCAATAGGCTGATGGAGGGAACAGTAAACACTTTCCTCTGTTTTATTCTTTAAATGTTAATCAGGTTGTTTGATTATTTCTATCAAACTTTCTCCCTCCTTAAGTGGAGAAGCTGATTAACTTTGATCATACTAACTTGGATTTTGGACAATTATTTTCCAGATTTCTTTTCTCCTGTTGATTAAAATGTTGAGTGACATTAACCCTCTGACACACAAGCACTTTCTGTGTGTTTTTTTTGTTTTTACTCCTGTCACATTGTATTTATGTGGGCTCGTTTTTCTCTCCAACACAAAGTTCTTCACCTCTATGGAAACAACCCAACCATAGCTAGAAGTAGAGAGAACTCAGATATGTCTTTGTGCAAAATAGTAAAGTTAGAATTTTAAAAAAATCATTAAGAAAGATCAATTTCTCTCATTATTTTTATTACCAAAGTTTAATAATCCTGGAAACACAATGCACAGCATTTTTCAAAGTGCCCACAGGTGTTACCAATGCAGTGCTGCCCATTTATTCTAGGATGGAATTATGACTCTATCCGGGATATTCCAATAAGCAGGCGTCATTCTTGATGTCAAGCTTCTGGGCCAAGGACAGGTTGTACCGTTTACGCTTCGCACTCATGATGAATCAAGATTAGCGTATTGAAGTTTCCGCAGTGATAGAGCACTGAAAGAATTGTGTCCATGTCATTTCACCTTTGTAGATACGAAAAGCCACCCCATCAATTAAAGTTGTTTCCTTCAATCAGAGGGTCTACAGAGGACGAACTTATCATGATTAACTAGCTGAGCAGTTCAATGAGTGACGACATGCTCTGTAACAATGTGATTCTCTTTGATGTGCCCTGATTAACGTCAGACAGTGTGTGAATAACTCAGTGATCAGATCTCAGGTAAGCAGGTAACAGAGAATCAAACAAACACGCTGACTTCCGAGGCTGACCAGGGTGTGATAATCTGCCACACATGACCGACGCTCGGCCCGTGAGCTGTAACGATCAGCCAACCATGACTTTAAACGGGCAAAAGTTATTCTTGCAATGAATTTCAGGACATTTTGTTATGACAAAAAACGGGATCATGACATTATTCTATGACAATAAAGGGACTGTTTTACTATAGGTTATACAGGAAATGATTCGGGACTTTGATATTTTATGATTGTAAACAGGATATTCTATAAAGGGGTATGACATTAATTGGGCAGCACTGTACTAGAAAGAAATTGTGGCTATACATACTGTACATAATACAGTTGTTATGTTTTGATGACCTCTACAGACTAGGTATTTTTATACTACTCTGCACATGAACTCTAAAAGGTACATTTACTCCGCTGAATGTATCTTCCAACAACTTGCTGACAGTTTCCTCCACAGTATACTGCTTTGAACCATGTTTGATTTATTTCATAGCTTATGTATGTTTTATTTTCCTTTCAGTTTCTAATTTGTTTCCATACGTGTCTTCTCTCTGCTCTGTGTAACACGGCCTGCAGTTCAGCTGAACACTGACAGAATGTTTGTCATGTGATTGTTGGTTGCTGCTGAGTCTCTAATTGCTTTTCAGTTAGACTTAGGAGCCCAGAGTTTGTTTTTTATTAGTTTTTTTATAGGATCTGGTGCAAGCAGTTTATTTTTTGGCAATTTTTTTTTTTTTTTACGGGACGGTTAAAATCATTTCTCACAAAATAATATTAGTGTCAGGGCAACTGCCGAAGTGCTATCCTGTCAGGAAGGTGAAAAGAAAAGTCGACTCTGGATTATTATGATTTTGACAAAATGAAATAATAATGTTGGTTATTTAGGATTTGTGTCAAATGGAAAAGATCAACATCAATAAGGTACTCAGGTCTGAGCTGATGAAAATGGAAGGTGCATTATAAGCCTGCATGAACTTCAGTTTCAGTGAGAACTAATGTGTTTGTGCTCTCTGTTTGGTGGGCAGGTTGAACAGTCAATTAGCAGAAGGGAGTAAAGGTGAGCTCTGGTCCCAGTTGTCCATTTAATCACACCACTACTTAAATAGGAAAGTTCACACACATTGTTGAATATGAAACACAATCTGAAGTCCTCTTATTCCTGTCTGGTTCTGATGCTGATGAGCGCTAATGTTTGCCCTTACAGAGCGTGTGCAGTTCACAGTGTGGAGTGGAGATTTATTGAAAGATGACCGGGTTCTCTTCCAGATCTCGCTTCGCTCCTTCTCTCCTCCCTTCCTACCCCACAGACTGTGAGTATTGAGCAGACGTCTATGTTTGCTGTGTTACATAGAGTCAGATGGCAGGATCGAATCAATCCTTTGACATTTCACTAACCTGTAAAATAAGTACATGTAAATAGTCTGGTGTGTGTTCCTTTTTAAACAAACGTTTCTTTTGCTGTAGAACTTTCAGCACATTTCTCTGTCCACTTGGGCTGCAGTCACTTAAAGAAAGAACATCACGCTCAGCTAAAATGACACCTACTGTTCATCCAATCGATTGGCTAGCCTGTTAGCTTAAATGAATTATAAATAAATGTATTAAAAGCTAGTATGTGCAGCATATTAAATCATTTTTAAGTGGTTATTTTATATTGAAATGAATCACCAGGAGCAGACCAGCGTTAACCTTCCTATATTCATATGAAGCAGAACTACATCAACTTTTGATCCCAGCACAAGGACTATTGAGGAATGCAGACAAGTTAGCTTACTTTTTATTACATGATAAATCATGTTGGTCGTTGAGCTGTGATATGCAAATTACTGTTGGCAAAGTTTACACTCAACTTTTCAGATCACCTGTGTGATCACAACGCAGCCCCGCCAACAGCTTCTTAGAATTAACTGGAAGCCAATTCTGAGCAAACATCCTGTAAGGTTGGACCAAATGTTGGACGGCTGTTAATGTAACGCTTTTTTTGTCAGGAAAGTAACACGGAAGATTATTTGATCAATAAGAATTTGATCCGATGAAAACACATCAGCCAACGAATCGACCAGTCAAAAGTGGACACTACAGCTTTATTGTCCACTAAATACTAAAAAAAACATATTTGATTGACTAATCACTGGACCACTGTTTGGAGGGAAAGTTTGTTCATCATTTACTCATTTAATCTGAGACGTGTGCAGTGTTTCAGTTACTTGCATTTTTGTGTCTTGTTGATGTTTATTCACGAGTCATGTCAGTGTTTTACAGTTTAGCAAATTGGCTACTTTCACAGTGGCTAATGGCTACGCTAGTGGCTAGTGGTTAAGTTAGGAGGCAGCCTCAGATTACCCAGAAACTGTGTCTGGAAAACAATAAGGAATAATACATAAAGATATATAGTGGGCAACAAAAGTCCACACAAATCAGTCAATCCCTCGGTAAATGCTGTAGAAACAAACTGACTTGATTTGACATGGATGAAGGATGAGCTGGGATCACAACCATGATTACTTTGTGAACAAGTACTTAAATACAGAGGCCTATTTTATGTGAAACAAATGCATCTGTTAACTTTTTAAATACCTTGCTCTGCATATATCACCATGTGTCTCCATCAGACCAGAGAAACTGGAAATTGGTTATTTAATGAGGCTCGACCAGGTGACCAAGCTGCTCCCAGCCGAACTGTTCTCCTACAACCTCTACAACAGCAGTCAAGAAGGTGAGGTCGAATTGTCCTTTAGAGTAATGGGACATTGCAAACCAACATGTAGCTGATTGGGTTTTGTACACTGATAGTTTGTGACTCAGTTACAAATAGCCACTATTTTGTGTTGACATCCAGTAATTTTAAAGTTAGTCCTTTAAATGTTGATGACTTAAAAGCTGAAGATGAATTGAACTGGACTTTGTATATTTTTCTTTGTGTAGTCATGAATAACGGACATTGCTGCAGTCTTCTAGAGGTGATTGACAGGAATCGGTCTACAACCAGTGTGACAAAACTGCTACAGGAACTAGAGATGAAGAGAGTGGTGAGTTCTGCTTACTTAAAAATCTAGATGAACTTACTTTATGTGTCTAATGGGTGCTGATACATCACAGGAGGATGTTTTCCATAGAGGAACAGCAGGATCTCATGTACAATGCAGAGACGATGTTAAATAGCAGCTGGAGTCTGCATTTACCTGCACAACCTTCTAATTTCGTCTTCTTCCCATCATGTTGTCATTCAGCAGTGTAACGTAACTGTAGGAGTGTTACAAAAAACTGGAAAAATGTAAGAAAAAAAGAAAGAGTTAAAGGTTTAAATAGGAGTTGTCTGTTCTCTCTACAGGTTCTGGTGACTCCACTTACTGAGAAAGGCTTTCTTTTCTTGTTGTCCAGTGTTCAGATGGCCACACCTACTGGTAGGACATGGGGCTGATGGGTTGTACTGGTAAATTATGTACAGGATAACAACATGGAGATATTGCAGTTATGTAGTTAGTGACAATACAAGTAGGGTTTACATTAAGTGTACATATGTTTTTTTTCCGTTTTTTTTTTTAGATATTATTTTATTGGGCTTTTGGCCTTTATTTGCCAGGACAGTGTAGAAAGACAGAGAAACATGGGGAGAAGAGTAGGGGAAGGACATGCAGCAGATGAGCCGCTGGCTGGACTCAAACCTCAGCGGCTGCATTGGGGACTATAACCCCTGTACATGGGTCGCCGTCTGATCTACTTTAGCTACCAGGGCGCCCTACGTGTACTTATGTTTTCATGTAATTACAGCGTCATTCTTATTATTCTGATGGTATATATTTATAAAAAAAAATTAAAAACTGAGACAACCAAAAATGCTAGCTATGTAATGCTTTCAGGACATCTCAGTTCAAGCTTTAGTTCAGCTTCAATTCAGCTTTAAACAGAATCACTGCTGTGAGCACTATCAGTTCTCTCTACAAGAGCAATATTGTTAGATGTCAGTGAATTGTGTTTTTTTATATCAGTGAAATGCATATAAGGCTGTACTACAACAGATGACAACATGCATGAGAATGTGAGAGTGACAATAATGTTTGTGTTTTCAGAGAGAGGAGAGAACTGGAAACGGTGTCTTCAGGCCTTGTTTGTCTTTCCAGAAACTAGAGATGTGGCCAAATCCAGTGAGTAGCACAAGAATGGGTGGAAGGGAGCTACATGTATAGTTTTTCTCAAATTTGCATAATTTAGTGTTTTGTTACCTGTTTAACAAAATACAGTTTAACTGTTCTGACTCTGTTGTAGACTCAATATTTGCACCACAGCATTCTCCTCCCCTGCTGTTATCTGGGTGTTACTGTTTACAAAACCCCCTTTGCAACACAGCTCCCCCTGCTGCTATTTGCAGGGGCACCGTTGTTGCATCCTGGGCTAAGCACCACCAAGACAACTGTGATTGATTCAAAGAAATCCAAACAAGCTAGGGTGTTTTTTTTTCTCTGCACCAGAATGATAATGAGTACAGCCAGATTACTCTCCAGAGCTGACATAGTGTTATGGAGCTCAGTCTGATTATGTTAGACTACGCTTAAACAGGCTTCTTTAAATTGAATAAACAGTTTGCTAAAAGAAATGTTAGTGACAATTATTTGCGGTTTGTCATTATACAAGAACCTTAAATGTTGTCATGTTGATATAAATAGTATTGGTTAGTGCAGGGACAACAAACACAAAGGAACTAACTGTGGAGGCTAAAAACCACATTAAGTCTCAACTGAAGCTTTGATTTGATGTAAACGCTGATGTCATTGTCCCTGTTTCTACTTGTAGCACCACGGTCTGCCTCCTCGTCCCACGATGCCTCAGAGCCGTCGATATCTGGTGCAACAGTGATGCCGCAGCTGAACCAGTTTATCCCAGCGCTGCATCACTCCCTGGTCAAAGCCCGCGCAAACCCCCCTGCTGAGCTGTCGGCTGGTGTGGAGCGCCAGGCACGGGAATACCTTGTCGGCCTGAATGACAGCACTGTATGACCAACGTCTTTTAAACTGTCGTCCTCAAATTTCCATTTTTCCACTGTGGAGCTGCAACACCATCCACACTTTTCTGTCTTTGCTCTCCAGGTTCGACAGTACCCAATGGGCGAGTATGACGAGGAGGGACAGGTGTTTCCTGCTCCCAAACAACATCGAGTGAACATGGACAGCTACCTGCACTCCTACCTGTACAGTCCTGCCGTCTACCTGCTGTCAGTGGCCCGGGCCAAGCAGATGGTGGAGGTGCACTGTGGCCCTGAGCAGCCCCAGGAGCTGAAGCCCAGCAAGAGTATCGCAGGCCAGAGAGAGGCAACGAGCAGCACTGGAGATGCACAGACCAACTCTCAAAAGGTAAAAACCGAAACCTGGATGACAGTGATTGTCATTAGAAAACATTAAACTACAGACATGGGCTCTTTTGTCCTGTTTCAGGCCATACTGAGCTCAAATGTGTGTTCTTTGTTTCTCAGATGCAGCAACTGATAGATCTTGTTCTGACTTGTAAGAGCAATGCAGAAAATGAGGTGAGGAGGGAGGCAGGAGAGGGGCTGAAGGCGCCAGGGAGGAAGAGGAAGCTGGAACAAGAGACAGCACAGAGGGCGCTTAAATTCCTGAAAGCATCACAGGAACCTGAAAGGCACCACAACATCCCAGGTGAGAAGATGAAAAGGATGGTAGCAGCAACGTTTTGATGCTCACTGGACACACTGCACATCTTGGAGGTGTAATTTATTTTATAAACAGAGAACAGAATGGCTCATGGAGAATACCAGTGAGCAGACCAACATCCTGAAAGAAGTGTTGTTGTGAACTTTTGTTTTTCAGAGACTGCACAGACTGTGAATATAGATCATTGTTGTTTAGGCGAGTTATGTAAGTCAATTAAGTGAGCTCTGTCTCCAGTGTCGTATCAGCACTCTGGTTAATTCCTTTAGTTGATTCGTTAGGCAACAGTTGTGTGTACAGAAGTCAGATGTGAGTTTTCGCTGCTGTTTTGTTGGTTGTCAGTATTCTGTTCAAGTCGCTTTTCACACCATATGTTGGTCAATTTGATAACATCAGCTTGATGTGCAGTCTAGTCCATTTTATGTTGTCATTCTTGTTCAGGGTATTCTTGGTGCTTGGTGTTTTTTTAGAAACTACTACTGCTGTGTCTCTGTGCAGCAAACTTTGTACTCTCTGACATTAGCTCTTTAGTGATCAATACCAATTACCCAGCTTGAAAGCTCAACACATGTCAAAGCTATTGAGATTCAAATCACCACCTCTGCTCAAAACTCTCAGAATAAAATGTGAGGGAAAACATGATGCAGAGATTTGTGAGATTAGCCTTGAGTTTAGGTGAGAGGCTCGGTATCCTGGCAGACGTATGCACAACTAATCACGTGGTCATGGGTTCAGCTAAATCTATGGTAAGAACTGTGATTCAGATTATGGATTATAACTCTACCCCAAGAGTTCGCTGTATGATCTGTCAGCCTGATCGCCCACCCTTAATTATAATTTTGGGACCTAAAATGTAGGAAAAAAATTCACTTCACCAGCAAGCTGAAAGAGTTCAATCCTAGTGAGCTCCTCTTGAGCGAGAGGTAAGCTAAATTATACTGTGTGCATTCATGTTGCAACTAGAGTTTTAGAGTAAACGCATGTTATTGTGTTTTCAACATCCATCCATCCATCCATCCATCATCTATGCACCACTTAATCCTCACTAGGGTCATGGGGGGCTGGAGTCTATCCCAGCTGACTCAGGGTGAAGGCAGGAGACACCTGGACAGGTCACCAGTCTATCACAGGGCTACACTTAGAGACAGACAACCAAGCACACTCACATTCACACCTACGGACAATTTAGAATCACCAATTAACCTCAACATGTTTGTGGTGAGAGGAAGCCAGAGAACCCGTTCAGAACCCACGCTGCACGGGGAGAACCACCGAGCCACCTTGTAGCCCCTTTTTTTTTGTTAACATACCATGCATAATCGTGTGCTGTTCTCATTTTATTGCTCATAATCACTGACTGATGTGGGGTCCACTGACACTTTCTTTCTCTGTCTCTGCTCTAGCTGAGGGAAGCCAGATCCCCTCCTCTCCTGTCTCTCTTACGTCTGTGATTGGCTCAGTGGGATTGAAGGATGTTGATTTGAGAGAAGATGGATCGGAACTGCCTGCCAAACTTCTTGGCCTGCTGACAGGTGACTGGATACCAAAGCTGTCTGCCTGATAACATACAGTAACGATACTACTTGCAGAACCTTAACTTTATGTTCCTCCTCAGCCCCACGCTGCTCTGCCCCGGGGGCAATTCACTACTCAAATCTTGTTATTTCAGTTGGTGATGTTGCATTAAAACATACTTTAAGATCGTAAGACATCACAAAGCCTTTTTGTTATGATGATGATGTTGAAATAATTTTTTTAAGGACGGAAATCAAAGCGTTTCTCTGCCCATCTACAGGCCTCACCCAGGCTGCTGGGGGAATGGCCAGTCAGAGCTTTTTTGAGACACCAGTGGAGGCGCTGAGGGAGTCCTCTCCATTTGACAGGCTGGCCACAAAGCTGGGCTTGCCCACCAACTGTGACATTGATCTGAGGAAGCAGGAGGAGCTGGAGGTAACAGAAGATAACTTATGTTTATATGTTTTCTGGATGCATGGTAAGAACAGCTGCCTGTGGTTGTCACACCTGCACTGGTAGTGTTCTATTTCTCTTGAGGCTTTGTTACCTTCCCTTTACCTTCAGTACAATTACATCATGACAGAGTACAAAACAATCGCAGCAAGAACGAAGATGCTGTGCAGTAAAAGCATAACACGTCACACCATTAGTTACTTCAGCATTCTAGTTTTTTGGTTTTATGGTGAGACTTTGTAGCCGAAGTGCGATCCTCTAACATGTGAAGTGTGAAATTACCGGTGCTTTGCAGAAGCAGTGAGTTTAGGTGATTGGTAGAAATGGTGGAAACTTATGATATGAAGTATGTCTTTTGTGTGTGTGTGTGTGTGTGTGTGTGTGTGTCTGCATAGGAGCAGACGGCGGGCAGCGTCAGTAGTTTGGAGGGATTCAGTCCCGGCTCACACAGCGGCGAGACGAATCATCACGGAGCAGCAGGTCGAGGAGGAGGAGGAGGCGGAGGAGGTGGAGGAGGAGGAGGAGGAGGGCTGTGGAGGAGAACAGGAGGTTTCGAAGAGGAGGAGGAACAGGGGGAGATCCCATGGGTCCTCATCCCCATAACAGGTCTGTCCATCTGCCCCGTTGGCCTTCTGTACATCCAAACACACAATTTACAAAGGTTCTGCCATGAACCATTGTGAAATGAAATGAAACCACTGACCTTCTCTGAATATTAATATGATATTTGCTGGTATCACAAAGTCTACCACAGTACGATTTGGATTTGATTCCAGGGCCTTTATATGCCCATTAACACAGTCAGTGTCAATTATATTATCAACTAGCTAATAGCAGCTAAAGTTCGATTTCATTCCTGAGCTCTGAAAAACAGGAAAATGAAATCATGGATGTGTGTCAAAATGTATTCTATTTTTAAAAAGGAATAAAACAAACATTTTGTTGATTAGTTGAAGAGACTTTCTTTGATGACATTCATTATGAAATAAAATATAAAACAAAACATAAACCATTTAAGCAGGATACATTAACGTGTTGTGTTTTTACAGACTAGGACCTGATTGTAGGTCACAAAAGTTTACTTTGAACTCTGTCTGCAGGTCTGTGTTCAGAGAGGTACACCCAGAGAGACAGGAACGTCCCTCAGGACCCTCGCTTCCAGCACCTCGCCACGGCAACAAGCATCGCCACAACAACCAAACCTCACAGGAACAGCCCCGCCTTGTCCCCTGAGCCCAGCCCTCCTGCCTCTCCTTTCCCCTTACCGTCCCCCGAAGCCAGCCCTGCCCTCTCCCCCACCCATTGCCCCTCACCTGACCCCAGCCCTCCCATTTCACCCTCGCAGTGTCCATCTCCAGTACCAAGTCCCTTTCCTTCCCCGTCTCAGTGCCCATCTCCAGAGCCCAGTCTCCCTCCTTCCCCTTCCCGATGCCCATCTCCAGAGCCCAGTCCTCCCCCATCTCCCTCCCAGTGCCCGTCCCAAAAGACCCGCCCTCCCCTCTCATCCTCTTGGTGCCGGTCCCTGGAGCCTGATAAGCTCAGCCCACTTATTAAGAGCCAGAGAGGTGCTAACGAGGAGCGGTTAACCCTCATAGGCTCCAGGGAGTTTACAGGTAATGTTCTTTTTGATCCATTTGTTAATATTAGACTGTAATGCCACCTGCAGATTTCATTTTGAAAATTGCACCAAGTTTATTTCCTGTTGCAAATTTTCAAAAATAGTTTCTGACAGAAAGTATAATATTTGCTTTAGAACATTGGTTGTCTCCAGTCTAATCCAGTCTGCCTCCTGCAGGTGGGTCCAGTGACAAAGGAGAGAAACTTCAAGGGAAAGAAAAGAAGACTGGAGATCCACGTCTTTCTGCATCCATCCGTCAATGTAACCCTCCAGCTCTAGAGCACAGGACTCTCCTACCCCCTGCTGTGCGAGGGAAGGAGGAGGCAGAGCAGAAAACAGGGAAGGTTAAGGAGGCACAGGTAGAACTTCTGGAGAAGGAAAGGAAAGCTCAGCCAGTTGAAAGAGTGTGGAAACAAGGGGAAGCAGAGACGGTGGAATGTAAGCCAAATAAGGAGGAGGTGGTGGACATGATGCAAGAGCCCTCTAATGGAAAGGAGCAGAAGGGAAAATTGAAGGAACTGGCTAGTAGCTCTGTGTTTTCTCCTTCTGTCTCCTCTTCTGGTGTTTGTCCTCACAGAGACATTGACAGCATTGTGGACAAACATATGGGTGATTTCTCCTCTGAGATTCAGCTCCTCCTGCAGGAGGAGAACATTCAATACAGCTTCTCTCAGTCCTCACACTCCACTTCAAACGCAGACACCACCACATCTCAACACACACTCCTGCAAGCCTCATTATCTCAGTTTTCACCATACGTGTCTCTCTTCAACCCTTGTCCCCCCGTCCATGAGTACTTGAACTCACTACGAGACAGCATTAACAGGATGCTAGCAGAGTTTGATGACAGCTTGCCGAGCCACAAGCCTGGCACCAGCCAGACTAATTCTGATGCCACGTTGGCGAACAGCGTTAGTGCTTTTGTGGCCAGTGTCCGAGCAGCTAATGCTAAAACAGGAAGAGATGATGAGGTTCCTACTAGTGGTGAACTGAATGCTGCTGATGCCAGTCCCTCTGTCAGTAAAAGTCCTGCGCTCTCCAGAGGAGGCGAACTGTGGCGGCCAGATGCTACAAACTGCAGGAATCCCACAACTTCTCATGCCACTTTATCCACTCCTACCTCTGCATCTGCTTCTGCATACAAGCCTGCCAACACTACTGTCCTCTGCCCTACTAACAAGTCACAACAGTCCCAGTGGAAACCACAGCAAAGTCACACTTTAGAGACCAGGACAGTCACGCAAGACATCCAGCAAGCACAAGATAAGGGCATTGCCAGTACTGTACTTTGTACTGCTGGTGTGGAAGGTGGGAGTACTCTTTCAGGTACAAACTGTGACACAACCCTGCCAGGGTTCAGCAGCGTCTCTCTACAATTGGCAGAATCTTCCAACCTGTCTGAGCGGGTCTCCAGCCCGAGCTCTGTTTCCGTCCCTGGGCCCAGTGGGGTCCCTGCTCCCCCGGCTACAGCCCTGAGCTCCCTGATTGGCCAGCTGCAGCCAGAGGTGTTCAGCAATCTGGTGAAGATCATCAATGACGTCAAGAAAAACTCTGTACAGTTTTACCTCCACTGCACTGAAACAGGAGACCAGGTCTATGAAGATGTCAAGGTAATACATTGAGAATAGGTGCACATGGATTCCATAAATACATACAAATCTAGGAATTTAATACTATTAAAACCTCAATAAACAAACACTAATGACTAAATAAATACAGTTGCTAATGATTGTTAGTTACACGAAAGTGAAGAACGTCATGTAATCCTGGGAGTCAGTCCAAAATAGAATGTAATGGCAGAAATCCATGAAGACTATTTGACTTTAATGTGGTAGCTTTGAAAAATTAGATTTAAAAGTCTGTGGAATGATTACATTTTTGTTTATATGCTGTGTGTGTTACGTCGAAGGAACTCCTGTTGAAGCAGGGTAACGTGGAGCAGAGTCCTGTGGCCTTTCTGAACCAAGAAAACTCTGAAGACAGACTGCTGGTCATCATCAAGAACAAAGACATAGCTGGACACGTACACAAGGTACTTAACAGCTGCTCCTGCTGCTTTCCTTCTTGACTACCAGTAAGCAAGGTGTGTACATGCATGTGTGCAAAAAAAAAATACAATATACATGCATTTATTTGACTTCTTGAGGATGATGACGTCCAGGTCTGAGTGCCACCTGGTCGGTGTGTTGGCCCTCTGATCCTCTAGTGTTGTGGACTATGGGATCTCTGCAGGTTAACTGCTGTGTAGATCCACGGTCCAGTTCAGTGCTCCTCCCTTCAGGTCCACGGAGGGTTGAATACAATCTGTCACTTAACACATGGACTGCAATCCAACCTCTTTTTTGAGCGTCTTTGTCCCAGTAGCTGCTGTTGTTGTCTTGTTTTTAGTTCCCATGTCTACCAGAGAGCTGCACTACGAATCAAGTTTGACATAGCCAGGCTCTCTTTGTGTTAGCCGGCTAGACAAAAATGAAAGCCCCAGTCAGAGATTGCGTGTATCACGAAGGTAGTCATCAACTTTCTTTGTCAACTCTGACTTTCTGTTTCAAACTCTGTTCACATAAAAAGGGGGCATTTAATGCGTCATGTGATTCTTCTTCTGCTCAAAATGAATCGATTGCGTGCAGCTGCTTCAGTCAACACATTGTTTTAACGGGAACAGTGAGGAAAATGAAAAAATTATGACGGTAAAAAGCACCGCTACTGCAAATGGTGCAAGACAGAAATGCTGGTAGAAAACTGTTACACGTGTTCTTATATAATATTTTACTGATGCAGCCGATTATTTCTAACTGACAGCTGCACGTTAAACTTTAAACATCATACGTTTAAACATGATCTTGTATTGAAGTGCATTTAGGTCTGACACTGTCCCATAATGCAGGAAATCACTTGAATTTTTGGCCAAATCAGATTGAAATTAATGTCATTGAATATTCTCTGTAATACCAGTAGAATAATCCATTTGCAGCAGTGTAAACGGACATGACAGCAAATCAGAGCCAAACATACAAACACATTTATGTGATTTCTGCATCACCAACTGAATATGCCGGGTTCCCATGGCAACGTGATGTTTACAGTGTGAGATACTGTAACTACACGACTTTATTCAGTGATATTAGTCGCACACAACTCAGCGTGTTTACAGATAAAACACATTCCTTCAGCTGAGAATCTGTATCGCTGGTAAATAATAGTCAGGAAACGATCTGGTTAAAGGGAGACGCTCTTTCCAGCTGATTTAATTCCAAAAGTCTGAACATAACCTGCTCCCGACCAGGAGATCTAGCAGGTAAAAAGAGAGACACCTTTGTGATAGTGACAACTCTGACTCACTAACCCACTAATCTCTCTTCATAGTACAGCCCTCTGATGTTCTAGTTATTCGTGGCAGTCAGAACTTCAAACATTACTTTGGTTTGATGCGCTCCAGAAGTGATGCCAGTTTGCTCACACCCGGGTGGAGATGAGACTTTGTCAGATGTGTGTACTGCTAAACTCAATACTGCAGTGGAAGCACACATAATAGTCATATTGCAGGAAGCGCAATGTGCAGCAAAGAAGCTGAACTCACACGTCATGTTCCAACTGTTTCTGATTAATGAAAAAAGACAACTTGCATGGTTCTTATGTTTTATAAATAATCGACTAGAGAAGTCTGTCTGATGTCATTTACTCAGATTTAACAGTTCTTGGATCCGCTGATTTACTTCTTTTCAAACAACGCAGCGTTTGTTGACATGCAGGCTCCACATGTGCACAGTGGAGTGAGCGAAACAACAGGAGAGAGACACTGAAAAACATTTGGTTGCAAAAAGAAACACAACACCAGTGGCTACAGTAGCTCACCTAATAGGACGAACGAACCATTCACGAAGGCTGAGTCGTTCCTGCAGTGACTCGGCTTGGATTTCAGCCTGGACCCTTGGCTGCAAAAAACAAACAAACTTGAGTGAGTTCGTTCACGTGAATTCTCAGTCTGTGTGGAGTGAGAAGACACATCTGCTGCCTGTGGAAGCAGTTCACTGCTACGTCTGTTGGTCAGACAGATTCACTGCCTGATATATTGGATTACACAAAACTCAGACTGTAAAGGGACTAACAAGAGGAAGGCGATCTTTTATTATGGATGATTTTAATTTGGTGTGTAATTTGCTTTTCAGAGGAGTCAAACAAATCGTAGAAAATTCAGGCAGTGCTAACCAACTAGCGCTGGCTAGTCTGATCTATAGACGGGTTGGATCTCATGTTTCCCTGCTTGCAGATCAGGCTGGCCGGGTTGCTTTTGTGACAGTCCAGTGAGGTGGTTGTTCGGTAGATGGATTCCAGCTAAGAGTGACACCAAAGACTGTCATAACCACAACTAACCGTGTTCTGCTGGGAGACTTGTTATGGTGATCTTTTGGGGGAGAGTCACGGTCTGAATACGGTCTTTTATCCACATCGCCCACACGAAGACTGACAGCAGCTGTGTTTGTGTGTTTGTGTTCATGCCAGATCCCAGGCTTGGTGTCTCTGAAGCGACACCCCTCTGTGGTGTTTCTGGGAATCGATACGCCAGACGACATCAGGAACAACAGCTACAATGAGCTTTTTGTTTCTGGAGGTTGCATCGTCTCAGATGACTTTGTGCTCAATCCAGATTTCATCACCCACGGTAGGTCATGGTTTACGACCCAAAGTCCTTGTTCTGTCATCTGAGTCGTTGTACTTTGTCTGTTCATGCTTTATTAATTGAAAACAATTCAGCATATAGGAACTACATTTTTAAAAACTGCATAATTTCTCTCTCTCTGATGCAACAGATGCATTAATACTGTTTGTATTTATGACATTGTTGTGTTGTTCTGCAGATCAACTGGCCGCACTGCTGATGTTCCTGGAAAAGCACAGTTCTGGCGAGAGTGTTTGGAGGTGGAAGGTTCACTGCAAAACCCACAAACGACTAAAAGAACAAGCCAGGTACTGACCCTGCTTCTCACTGTATAATGTCCTGCATTATTACACAGCAGAGACAAGATGAAGCTGTAATATTTAAATGACGTGTAACTGAACTGTTACTTCCAGCTTGGCTGATACAAACATTCGTAAACATTATTGATTCTGCCTCTTCTGAATGGTTTTGTCAGTTCTGATTCACAGACTTAAGGTGGAATCACTCATTATTTTCAGAATCAGTAAAAAAAAAAAAAAGAATTCCCATCACTAATTACATGGTGTGTCTGCTACTATATGTGTTTTAAGGCTGTTTTTAAAAAAGCTGTTCTCATCTATTGTCATGTTCGTGCTGGAGAGACAGAAGCATAAACGTCATAAAACATTAATAGTGCAAACATACAAGCGTTAATAGACTTGTCACTCCCACTAGTTTCTCACTTCTTTCTTACTTTTTAAAAATTCAAGATTTGAAATCCCGAGAAGCTTCTGTTTTTATGTGACATGCAGTTGTATTTATTGTATTTTTTAAAATTCTTAAATTCTGTAGCTAATTCCACGTGGCTTGTAATGACATGTGAACCTGTACAGAATAGTGTGTTACAAAGCCAAGGAGAGGAGGTGTGCTTTTTTTTTTTTTTTTTTTTTACTTTTTCAGTGCATAACAAGTCAGCTGTGGATATATAAACCCACACAGGCAAAGCTGAAGTTCTTCCAAAACAAACCATAAAATAAAACCACAGTAGGTTGTGATAGCAGTGAACTCAGCAAAGCCCAAATGACTTGGTTTTTGTCCAACCAGGGCTCCAGACCGCGACCAAAGTGCTTGTACTTGCAACCTTTTTTTTTTGAGTGTGCAAGTTAAAATTTTAACGAGTCGCGTTGATGCGAGTGTGTGATGATCATGAAGCTGTATCAGTGTCGCTGTATCCAGCTGCTGTGTTCAGCACTGAAAGTAATGCTTCTGTCACTCTGTTGTACTGCCTTATTTATGCTTAAAAACAAGGTCTTCTCTTGAAAAGCTGAACGCACCTAAATGCACTGGGGTTTTTTTTTTTCCACTCATAGAAAAGACCATATGTAGAAAAAATCCCTCGGTTTCATCTTGGACACATCTGACATGAGAACATCCTGGTTTACTCTTTTCAAAGTCATTTTTAGAGTCGCACACTGCAGCCACCAAGCAGCAGCTACAGCAGCCTGCCATGTGAGGCGTTTAGGGAACATCTGTAAATTGTGGTGTCTATCGATAAGAAAATGTTCAGCAAGTCATATGTTTTGCCTGTGACAAGGTGGGAAGTGCGACCTAATGAGAATGTTGGTCTCATCGGTGCTACCAGGGAAAACGTTAATCTAGAGCCCTGCCAACTAATGTACAACTGTAATTGCAGGTGAACACAAATTCCTACAGAAACATGTAAACTCTACTTTCTTCTGCAGTTGGAATGCAGATCATATGAGCTCTGACCTGCAGCTGAAAAACAAACAGGAAAGTTTAACGTGTGTGTGTTTGTGTGGTTGTCAGGTTTAGGAACGACGCAGCCAACCTGCTGGACTTGCTGTCAGCCTATCAGAAGCGTCAAATTGTAGAGTTCCTCCCGTACCATCACTGTGACACGATGAACCATCAGTCACCCGACCTGGGCTGTCTCATCGAGCTCCAGGCCCGGTACACACAGTACCGACACACCATCTTCCTCACGGGTTCGTACATGTCAGCAGCACTGACGCTCCAGGTTCTGAATCAGTAGCACGGACAGGCAGCAAAGTTGTGTAACTTTACAGGCTGATGTTGTACCGTTAACCCAAACCCA